GTCTACTTGTTTGCCAAGTTATACTGAAATCAGATCAAAACTGTAGGAGGAGTAGCATTTTGAAAGTATTTCACAGAAATTTCTATTTTTAGTAACCATAGCAACATCGTTCATCGAAATCAAAAACCGATACACAGAATTATGCATCTTAGTATAGTCTACTTGTGTGCCAAGTTATATTGAAATCAGATCAAAACTGTAGGAGGAGTAGCATTTTGAAAGTATTTCACAGAAATTTCTATTTTTAGTAACCATGGCAACACCGTTCATCGAAATCAAAAACCGATACACAGAATTATGTATCTTAGTATAGTCTACTTGTGTGCCAAGTTATATTGAAATCAGATCAAAACTGTAGGAGGAGTAGCATTTTGAATGTTTTTATCAGAAATTTCTATTTTTAGTAACCATGGCAACACCGTTCATCGAAATCAAAAACCGATACACAGAATTATGTATATTAGTGTAGTCTACTTTTGTGCCAAGTTATATTGAAATCAGACCAAAACTGTAGGAGGAGTAGCATTTTGAAAGTATTTCACAGAAATTTCTATTTTTAGTAACCATGGCAACACCGTTCATCGAAATCAAAAACCGATACACAGAATTATGTATCTTAGTGTAGTCTACTTGTGTGCCAAGTTATACTGAAATCAGACCAAAACTGTTGGAGGAGTAGCATTTTGAAAAATTGTTTACAGACAGACAGACAGACAGACAGACAGACGGACCGACGACGGACACCTTACTATCGCATAAGCTCTTCTGGTCTCTGACCAGTAGAGCTAAAAACCTGTTGTCACCCCTGCCACAAATTGAGTATTGGTTCTAAGTTATGGGATATACAGAGGTCACAGGAAGGTCAGAAAATATGTCAATTTCTGAATTTTCTCATTTCTATGCAAATTTTCATCAATTTTATAGCATATTTTGTTTCAGAAAACATAGAGCACAAGCTTGCCTCTCTACCAAATTTATATATTTCAAACACTAATATCAGATGCATCTTGTGTATAAAAATCTCAGATAGGCAAGCTTGTGCTCTATGTTTCCCAAAGTGAAAAGTATCTCAAATTTGACAAAATTCCACCAAAACTGAGGAAATTCAGAAAAATGTCCTACTTCTGCACCCTCTTGTGACCTCCCCATAAGCTTTGAATCAAAATTAAAGCTGGTTTTAAAACAAGCATCATTTTAAGTTCTTAACTACAAACTATCAAAATTTTAACTGTGCATGTTCTGATTTTTGCATCAAAGAAGGGCCCAGCCACATTCGGCCGTTACCATACTTTGTCCTTTACGAAAATAAAAGAAGAGTGATAGGAAATGAAAGGACTTCATAAATCATTTGTAAATAAATGCAGAATTATGGATAACAGGACAGGATAAGATAACTTCATTGATATGGTACATCATTCATTGTAAAGCAATATTTTCCATGTGCATGACTTTCCAGCAAAGTTGTGGTCAGCTGTACAAAACAACATCTTGAACCTTTCAATCACATATAAGGAGGAAGTTTTTTTTAGCTAAACTTTGAATGGTGGTTCCAATTTAATTTATGATACATCTTGGATTCCATCTAATTTCGATGAATATTTTTTCCAGTTAGAATCCGGACAGGATTTTGCCATGATATTTGGCTATATCATCTAAAGTAACCTACATTTAATGTGCAAAACACCTTCTACACAAGATATATCAGCCGATTATAATTTGATGATTCTAGGCCTCAGAGTACCAATATTTAAGTAAAAGTTATGAGCCAGACATGAAAAAAGTATTGGTTATACTGACCGATGGACATGAACGCCAAACGATCATAATTTATCTTAAGACAAGCGTATAAAAAAAAAAGATGTTACTGATAAACAATGTTGAAACTTTAGCAAAAACTTTAATCCTATACACTGATGTGGATGTCGCAAGTATCACATAAGTCACAATCTTTACACATAAAAACACTCCAAATTAAACTTTAACATCAACGCTCCAAAACTTTAACATAAACACTTCAAAACTTTAACCTGATTTGCTGATTTGGATGTTGCAAGTACAACACAAGTCCAATGTTTAGAAATATTTTTAACAGGTTTAAGATTAAGAATGAGTGAAAATGTTGTGTATGACTTCAGCTATGATGATTTTTTTTTTAATATCTGGCAAAAGAAAAACAACATTACTAGAAAATCATTTAAAGTTGAAACTAAGAAATAAAGAGTCAATGTTTATTGCTTTTGTATAATGCTGAAAACTTGTTGTCAAACATGGTTATGGGGCTAGACCAATGTAACCCGCGCTTTATCATTATTTTTTTTAATTTAGCCCTCTGTTTTATGAACAGATGAAGTGGCATTCCAATCTGTGTCACTGTTAAGGTTTTTTTCATACTCTGCAAAATGTTTCCTTTAAAACTTTGAAAATAAATCATATTAAGGGAGGACAGCGTGTAAATTTTAATTATCCTTTTCATAATAAAATATTTAAAACAATTTTAAATACAATATTTCACTTTTTAAAAACTTTACCAAGAATCTTAGTACCACATGTTGACGGAAATACGAACGACAACTCTGTCTTAGAATTCGTTAAGAACATTACATGACAGTTTCTCAAAACTGTCATTGCAAAACCTTTTTCTTTCCCATTATATCTTTCTTATGACTACCTCTGGGCAAGGTTCAATGAGATTATGAGTCAATATTAAAGAAAATACCTGCTTATTGACTAGAACTTGAAGATTTAGATGTCTAATTTGGCGCTCTTACTGGTGTAATTAAACGGAATGCCGATCCCGATTTCTTTATTTGCTTAAGAAGTGCACGTGAAAACGAGACATTTTAAATTACTTTTTTTTTTTACTAGTCTGGTAGAAAACTTTAATGATAATATGGATGAAAATTATGAGTAAAATATGTTAATTTTCTCATCAGATCAAAATTCATGAATTTATTTTAAAAAAAATTAACAATGGGTACTCCCAAACATTGGGTATAAAAGGTATGCAATTCGTGAGATTTTTTGGCTATAGTGTTGAATAAAAAACGAGAACTTGATATAACTGGTAAAATTAGTTTTGAAAATGCTACAGATATTATCAGAATTTCGGAGCATATAACAAAATCTGATGTTAATCAGGTTTATTAAACATTAGGGATGAAACTAAGCTAATGAATTTTAAATGTCGTTGCATAATGAAATAATTGTAACTTTGTAAAATGATGGTTTTAATTTGTGGCAAGACTGCTTTCACGGCTTTGCTGGTAAAAAAAAAATGCAAGCAGAGTTTTTGTTCTTGTATAATTATTTTTATATATACATGTAACTTTTTATTGTATTACAGGGTTAAAATGATATGTGATGCATTTTGATAATGCTTCATCAAGACCACAATAAAAATTGCTAAGAAGACGGGATTTTGTTTATTTCCACCAGATTTTAGGTTTTCTTTTTCAAAAGGGTTGCAATCGCACCCAACACACCTGGTTTTGACAGACTTAGATCAAAGGAAAAATATAAACGAATAAAACTTCAATAAATAAATACTTGTAGTAGTAATTGCAAGAGAGAGAGAGAGAGAGAGAGAGAGAGAGAGAGAGATATTACTGCTCTCCGAGGACTTTGTCTTTATTATGCTACATGTACAAGTAATTTTCTGAATAATACTTATTAATACGAAGAAGTTTTGGTGGTGTCCTGGTGCCGGGAATTAAGGAACGAAGGAAGGGAGAGGGACATAATATATCATTCCATCACATCTAGAAATTCATCTTCCAAAAACGCCTTAATTGTGTTTGGTTGCTAGTTCGCTATACATTTCTTCCAAAATATTTCACTCACGTAGATAGAGCACCGAATTCCGAGGGGAAGCTGTGCGCAATTTAGACGTATTTTGGGATATTGCAAAGTACCATTTTGAGCAGTTTTGGCCTTTCAGCAGTTAAGTTTCGTGCTAGCATATTCTGCGACACCGAGTCTATGCACTATAAAAATCCCCCCCCCCCCCCTAGCATTTTACCCCGGTAACCTATATTGTAGACCCACCGGAAATTTGGCTATGTAGTAAATTTATCTTCCCCTAGGGAAAGTCGAACATACAGTAGGACCCCCCCCCCCAACCTTTATAGTCATATATGTATCTTTCATGTCATTTTCTTTTCAATATATCCTATGATAGGAGTTAATATTTTATATTGTTTAATAATTTTTAATTCTGTTTATTTTTAATCCAGGTTTCAAAGCATCATAACAACTAGAGCAAGACTCGTTGCAAGACAAAGAGTAGGTCTTAAGCGGGGCTGCGTCATGTAGAAAACATTGAATTTGCCAAAATAAGCTTGGGTCAAAGTCTTTACACAGCCTCAACTTATAAGTGTCAAATATGAATTAATGTTTTTCCGTTACAAGATATGGAAAGAACAGGAATTGTATTTTTGTGGAAGTTAAATTTGTACTCTGCAAAGTAACCTTGGGTCAAGGTCAGACCAAAATCCAGAGTGCATGTACATTCGGAAAGGTCTTGAAAAAAGTAATACATATGGTAAAATATAAAAGATAATCTTCTCTTGTACAAAAGTTATCACGATGTTAAAATTGTTGAAAATTAGGTCAGACTTCAAGGTCAAGGTAATGGGGTTAAAATGCACAGTATACATGTATATAATTATGGAAGATTTTTTTTATTGTGATTTAATGTTCCTTTACTGTTTTCCCCAAATTTGTTCACACAATTTTTCTTAGTCTATTGATTCAATTTCAATCACATTTTCGTTAGTAAATGATCGATATCTAATACATGTATTCTGAGATAAGAAACACTTGGTATTAAAACATGTTTTGATTCCTGTTTGAACTGACCCTTTGTATGCAGAAAAAGTCTAAGAACTTTTCACGACCTATACAAATGTGAAATTTTCTGGATAAATATCCATGTACATGTATATCACCTAGCTGTGCACAACTTCCATTACTTATACCTCCCAACACAAGTAACATAGATAGATAGAAACATGTATGGTAGGCTTTATTACTGACTTAATGCCTCTTTTTACTTGAAAGGTTTCACAAAATATAATATTTGAATTAAAAATATGTCAAAACAATATGTTTACATGTTTTTTCCACATCTGTGTGTCCTCAAAAGTTGCTTTTAACCTGTCTTTTACCAGAATATCACATTCTTAAGGATTAATTATTACTTGTATGCCTCCTCACGTGTCTATATTAAATACTCCTGATTGGTTGAATCAATGTGTTCCCACATACATCACATCTATAATGTTAATCACCTGTATGTTTCCTCATGTGTCTCTGCAAAGTTCCAGACTGGCTGAAACCTTTTCCACACACATAACATTTATAAGGTTTATCACCTGTATGGATCTGAATGTGTGTGTACAAGGTACTTGAGCGGTTGAATGCCTTTCCACATACATCACACTTGTAGGGTTTATCACCTGTATGTGTCCTCCTGTGCCTCTGTAAAGTACCTGATTGGTTGAACGAATTTCCACATATATCACATTTATATGGTCTATCCCCTGTATGTGTCCTCATGTGACTTTGTAAGTGTCCTGAATGGTTAAAAGCCTTTCCACATACATCACATTTATAAGGTTTTTCATCAGTATGTATCCTTATGTGTCTGTGTAAGGTTCCTGACTGGATAAATGCCTTCTCACATACATGACATTTATAAGGTTTATCCCCTGTATGGGTCCTCACATGAGACTGTAGTTTACTGAATTCAGAGAATGCCTTGTCACACACATCACATTCATAAGGTTTTTCACCTGTATGTATCCTAATGTGGACCTGTAAGTTACCTAATCGGCTGAATAACTTCCCACACACATCGCACTCAAATGGTACACCACCAGTATGTGTCTTCACGTGTTTATTTAAACCCGATTTTTCAATTATTTGAATACTGATGTCTCTTTCTAAATACTTTGTTTGATTGTCATTTGAATTAGTGTTGTTGAACTTTTCAGCATCACTTTCAGTGTGTGATCTGGATAAAAGGACTGCATTTTCCATCTGTAAATTGACAAAGAAATTGTTTTTAATGCTTTATCAAGGTACTTGACTGATGATATTTAGGAAAAATTACACACTATTCTTTGTCAGAAATCAGCAATATGTTTATTAGATTTATATCCATATGGAGAATGTTTATAATGATTGTCAGAGTACATTTTTGAAGATTTTAAATCTATAAAATTTGTGTAGATTTTTAAAAGAAATGAAACAAAGTTGTGAATTTGAACACTACATTCTTTTAATTAGGAAATCCAGGATTTTGTTAAATTTTGAGAATTAATTACTGATATCACTTTTTATCAAAATCTGGCAAGATATATATATATATATATATATATATATATATATATATATATATATATATATATATATATATATATATATATTTACATGAACAAGGGTTGTTAGAAAAGTTTGTGGCAATTTACGGAAAATTTATAGTGTGTACTTCGAAGAATCATGTATGTTTGATCAAATTATTATTATTTTATATTTTATTGATAAGTATACAAAAATTCAGATCCATTCACTAAACTTTTGAAAACATACAATGATTTTTACTTAGCGGTCATAGGATTCATGGAGCAAACCACTTGAAGTCTCGACATTAAGTGACATGACAACCTGATTCCAAACCTGTCAATCTTTTTCACACTTTTAAATATTCTTCAGATTTTCATATCTTTTTCCTTACTTAAAAAATGTACTTCTATAACTAGACGTTACTTTTTTTGTAAAATGTCTTTGTGGAGTATCTGATATAACTGAGATCCCAAAATCATGGATCACTGTCTATGCATTTTACAGCATTCAGTTACGGAAAATAATGAAGTAATGTAAAGGGGAAAAGCAGGGTACTAGTATCACAAGAGCCGATCTCCAAAAATATCAATCCTTCCATCCTTAAAAAGCTGCTATCATTTGAGCACTTTGGTCCATGACACGTAGAGGCAATCACCATCAGCATCTAAAAACATTTTAGTCTTTTTGGGACATTTTCCTATCTGTGCACGATTTTAAAAAAGTTCAGTGCTCCAATACATTCAATGACATTGAAAATCTTGACTTTGTTTTCATGCAGTGATTATCTCTTTTTAACAATTAAACAGTCATAACTTCTTCAATTTATTCAAAATTTCGCCTACCCAATGAAGTTTAATAACTATTGTAGCAACAGAAGAAATATATTGTAAATCTTTAATGCACTACAAGCTAGAGTGCAATTCATAATTTTACAAAAATGTCTATGTGATAAAAAAGTAAAAAATGTGACTTGATCCAAATGGCATACTTTTTTATCTCAAAGATACAGCTGTATATTTTTTAAAAATCATCAGAAAACAATAAATCTTTGTAAATTTATTGGAAATTATGTATATTTTTTATCTGCCGAGTTTTATTGAATAGAAGAATTTCACATTCCTAAGAGTTATCTCCCGTTGTTGGCGTAACACTCATTTTTATCACTATGTCCTTTGTAACTTACCTGTAAATATTTTTATCCTTCAAACGGAATCGGACAATTTTGACCCGTTCTTGAATTGCCTTAGTATGGGGCAACATAAAAAACACAATGAACATATTCAAACAGTTTTAAATTGCGAGATATTGCCCCAAAAAGATGGTAATGTTGTAGAGGGAAAACAGTGCATTACGCTGGTTGACCCCGCAAAGGGAAGTTACTTTTGTAAGTGTGCAATTCGTCTATTCATGCAAATAGCGTGCTCACAATACATTGTCAATTTGTCAGCGAACTTTTCTAACAACCTCGTATACATAAAATCAAATTGCTTTAGTGTGCGTTATCAGACCTGCCTACCCTTTTCATTGTGAGAGTGTAATTTCAATACTCAATTAGGTGGAATTTCAGAGGTGAAGGCGTAATCCTTTATGTTTCCCTAGTTTGGTGTTTTACAATGATACTATATTGTCCAAATAAACCTGAAATTGTACATCATTGAACAAAGCAAGCATGAATGTTTCTTTTTCAAATCGTTGATAGACAAAAAGTCCCTTTGTTGTAAAAACTGGTATCCTAAATGCAGTCATATCTAACTTATTTAACTTACATTCCTAATGAACGTTTGGAAAAATTTTTAGCAAATCTCATAATTCAGAGTTTCAATTTCATATGAATACAAATTCTACATTATTCCACTATTTCGTTTTTGTTTTTCTTACATTTCCTTGTCTCTATGTTGTTCTAAGCAATGTAAGAATAAACCAAATTGAAAATTAAACCGACTTTACTTATTGCATACATCATTCAAAAGTTTTTTTCCCTTAATTTTGGTATGTCAAAGGCATTATGCCTTTAAAAGGCATAACTACAAGGTATATTACGTAATGTTGTTTGTATCGTAAATAATCATATCGTGAAGAACCGAAACACTCTATTAATTAGTATTATTTACCTTCTCGTTTTCATTTAGGAAAGCCTTTACTTTAACTCCAAAGTTAGCCTTTCATTAAGTTGCTTAGGAAAAAATATTTAAAAGCGTAAAATTAGTTTTCATGGCGTAACAGCGTAATTTTGTGGTAAAAAGCGGAAAAATTACGCTGAAAGCGGAAGGGTTGGCAGGTCTGTGTTATTCATCCTTAAATATTTATATTCCAAGAATTTTTCCTTAAGATTCTTTGCAAATTAGAAAATGCTCATGTTTTCATGAACTACCATGAATGAGCAAGAATATCTCCATTATGACGTCATTATTCCATACTTGACATCAAAACTGCAAACTATCAATTTTTTGTCTACACAACATTTTACTTCTAATCAGTATCAATCCTTACCACATGCAAAATATATACTCAGATAATAATCATAGATGCTTGGTTTCAGGAGGGTGTATTTCGTATTATGTGTTTTTCTAGGTGTGTCTGAATACACTCATTAAATTTAAATAAAAATAAAAAATGGGTGAAATGATTTTTTTTTAAAAAAAACGTGCTAATTTCAGCGACGTTTTATTTATATTTCAATGAGTGTATTCAGACACACTTAGAACAATAGATACATTCACAAAATACACCCTCCTGAAACCCCAAGCGCCTGATTATACTAACCTCAGAAACATATGGCAAAATTTGTACTCACTCTAACCAGGTCACGTTAACAGTCCATCAGAAATTTTCTACATTCATTTTTCAATGGTTGTGTACTGTAACCTTTCTGTAATTTATTTTTTGTTAAAGGATTAATAGAGGTTGCACCCTAGGGTCCAAAAGTATGACCTCAAAACACAGCACCCAGGTACCAATTTCCTTGTATACGCAGAAACAATGAATACTTTCTCATAAACACACAATTTTCTACAATATTTGTTACACTGATATCTTATTTAAGGGAACGTGTTATTTTTTAAAGATCGGTGGCTTTTTTATACATAAATTATAGAAAAATTACCTAAACACATATGACACTGAGGACCTGTGCCTTGGTTTGTGTATATACTAAACCAGCGAAATGCCGATCCCGATCCCTTTAGTTAAAAAAGAATATAATCGAAGTACTGAAAATACTGAGTGGATGTAAAAAAAAATTAAAAGCAGTATGAAATATATTGTATTCACTGATGGTACATGACTTAATTTTATGAGAGTGTTTCTCAACTGCAAAATAAATATAAATACATGTATTTTGAAGGGAGGAGTGTGTGTGGGGTGGGGGGTCACAACACTTTCCAGAGATATCCAAGACTGAAATAGAGCAATCGGTAAAAATACCTACCTGAGTCAACAGCCTTGCTGCAAGAAAACAATTGTTGAATTTATTCCCCTTCCTCGTCTACATTCAAAATTTTGACTCTCTATCGTATTCCTTTTTTTTTTTTAAATTTTAATATAATTTCTTCTTTGAAACGGGTTAGGTCATTCATTTGAGTGTGTACTTGTATTTTTTTTTTAATGCCCTACTCACAAAAATGTAAGCTTTGCAACTGCTGCTGGGTTCTATGATAAGTACATTAACTTGTGAACTATAGCTAACAGCAATAGAAGGGAAACCGCAGCATCTGGGCTTGAATCATCATAGTAACAACCATAAATAAGAATAACGATCACTTGTGTTCCAGGTTCTATCGAACTCAGACCAAAACAAAGGAGGAGTGCCTTTTTGAAAGAATTTCAATAATATCATATTTTTTATAGGGATGTCAAAATATTTATTTTTCTTAGTCGATTATTCGTTTGCATTATTCAAACGATAGTCGAATGTTCGGAACATTTCCTGAAAATAAAATTTTATTTCAAACTTCACTGATACATGACGTATTTATAACTCAAAACCCTTTTTTCTTAAATCTATTTAAAAAGTAACATCAAAACATCAAGTAACATCAAAATTAATGCAACGTAACGCATGATTATATGAAATAAATTGGGAAACCCAATTCTCTAAAATGTACGATTTCCCCGTCAATCGAATTCATAATACCGTCTTTACATGTAGTCATTTTTTATTTTAGTGAGTATTGCCGATATTTTTTAAAATTTAAAATTTATTAGATTGCTCTGGCTATGAAAATGTCCTTAACAGATTAAATTGTAAGCTGTTTTAATATTAACATGACACAGCTATGTTTTTTTCTTTTCATTTGAGCAATCTTATAACAACAAAAGATAATTGGTAAATGGTATAAGGTCATGTCCAATTAATAATTTTACCAACAAACCTCAGTATATTGGTGGGTAATTTATTACAAAAACGACAAAGGCAGTTACTGACAATAAATTCTTGCAGTATAGTGAAGCACTTATAATTACTGTACTTTCTATACAGACATGGAAAAATCAACCGTTTTCGTTGAGGAAAATTATCTTATCGACTGTCTCTGAGGGAAGACGGTTTCTCAATTTTGTGACGAGAATTCCATCACTCTTTTATTGCATTTACTTAATTTTAATAATATTCGAATGTCGTTTCATTATTCGATCGTCGGTCCATTCGACTGATAGTCGAATAGTCGACTATTCGTTGACGTAGCTACTCCCAAACAATTTGAACAATTCATTCAGGCAGCAAGTGTTTCCACCAATAAAATAAAAGATATGCTCCATATAAGCTATAAACCATACATATTCCTAGCAAGATTTTTGAAATGTTTTGATAATAAAAACAGTAGAGTCATGAATATGCTTTCCATGTTACTCAATGCATTGTTTTGAGTATCACTTTTTTAAAACACCAATGAACTTTCCATAATGGTACTTCATTTGTTTTCAGAATTGATTTCATCCAGAAGAACTGTTTGAACTGTGGACTATTTTTTGCACCTGCTCAGAAATTCCTTCACAGCCTGCCTTTATATTTGAAAAGCTGTTTTTTTAATTAAATAAATTTTCTACATAAATAATACTTTGAATTTTTAACAGTACAATGGTGTGAAAGTTTGAAGGCTGTTAAGATTTGAATATCTTTACTTGAATATATTCTGACAGGCGCGTAGCTGCCTATACGCAGATGTGTACACATCGTTTTTAAATTAAAAAAAAAATGGGAGGGGGAGGGAAGGGAGAGATTTGTGAGAATAGAAAAAATGTCAATACCATCCAGCAAATAATTGTGTTTCAAATTATTTTATCTCATACTGTTTCGATTCAAATTCAAATTTTATATTACCATGTCTTTATAAAAAAAATTGTAATGTTTTATTAAATCATTGCCACAACCAAATAAAACATTTATTAATTTGTAATTCTTCTACAACACATTGATAATTTTTTTTAAAGATCTTTGAGAAAATATCAATCGTTGAATGCTGTGATCCACTAGAATATGATTTGAAATATAACATTATTTTTGTTAATAATTGAAATTGATTATATTTGTTGCTGAAAGTTAAAAAAGAGTAGATGATCCCAATATATCATTTTAAAAAATATTCAGCCTCTACATGTACAATAAATTTGCACGGAAGTATTTAACTGTGTTAAAAGCAATATTAAGTACATGTACTATGTCTTGTATTTTCTAAAGAAAATCGAAATGGCAGGATTTTGGATGAAATATTTGGTAAAACCCTTAAGCTTCCAGGGACTTCGCCCATGGGTCCTCATCAGGGCTTCGCCCTGGACCAACTGGGGGTCTCAAAGCGGACCCCAGCCGTTCTCTGCGTACATTTCACTTCCATTTTGGCTACGCGCCTATCTGTGTTTTTGGGTACCAACAAGATCTAAATTTCAGCATGTATATTGTGTTCACCTGTTCTTTTACAGAGTATATGTTCTTGATTACAAAGTTTTACAATGATTATCTTGTTCGCGCATGGATTGATAATAACTCAAAAAAATGAGATTAAAGCCCCCCCCCCCGGGTCCCCTCCCCCATTGTGATTTGTGCTACAATACCGAAATGAGTAAAACCTGATGTTAACACTGTTTAATAATTTGTTTTTTTACGTGCAAGTAAGGTATATGGTATCAAAGGAGCCAGAGGCAAACTGGTGGGGGGGGGGGGGGGGGGTATATCTGTAGAAAGGAAAACAGGTTCTTAAAACTTTTAACGTAGTCTAGAATCCCTAAACAGTTGAAGGTTTGATAACTAAAATAATCACATATGTAAAAAAAAAGTTCTGTCGGAGATATTTTTTCAATGTGTCTGCTGGGGGAGAATAAATATTTTATCATTGATAGTGGCTGTCTATTTTTTATTACAAATGATTGAATCTTCTTTCAATATTTTTTCACCATGGGTATTTTCCAATTGATTTACATGATAGATGTTGCGGCAAATTTTAGGCCTATTGTTGACGAACGGAGGAAATGCGGTAGGTGTCAAATACGTCTTGTGTAGGGTATAAAAGAACGAAGATATACAAAATAAAGTAAAGTCAAGATTTTTTTTTTAGGTATACCGCTTTGATTTAATGAAATAATGCCCAGCACAGTCCGTAAGTATTATTTGTTCAAAATTTGCGAGGTACACACACTCTATTAAGTACCACTGAGTTATCTCCCATGCTGGGTCAATGATGCATTTGAAAACTATATTTAGAATGCATATGTTAAGATTTCAATTTTTAATCAAGAAGTGCAAGGGCAAGGCGACAATCCAAGAGGTAGGTTTTTATTTTCAATTCTTTACTTTACTGTATAGTTTTTAAAAAGTGATGCTCATTTCTTTGTAATTCATTAGGCAATTTAAAATTTCCGATTAAATGATGAAAAATACCCTATTTTTGAATACTGGTGTCTGTTTTCAATAAATAACTTAAATATCTCAGAAATCTGACTGAATGAGCATCAGTTTTACGATAGAATAGATACTAAGGGACACAATGAAACATTGTGCAGTTCAAAAATATTTTGCCTTGCCCTTGCACTTTTTGGTTAAATTTGACATTTCAAATGAAATCTTAAATCGGAGCTCACGTGACTGTAGAGGGTCACATGATGACAAAAAATACCGATGTTAATAGCGATGGACAAACTCTTCATAAAGCCATTAAGATATTTCAGATAGAGTTTCATGCTAAAAAATAAAGTGCCCCGCCACAGCATGATACGCCCGTCAAATATTGTTCAATTATCAAAAACAGTTTAGAGTGCAAGAAAATCATGTCAACCTTGATACCGGTACAAGGATTTCCATGATTTTTCCATTCCTTATAATATTTGTTTATACATCTCCTGTGGTGTACGCATTGCTTTTCACAACTAATACATTATAGATCCTCAACTGGTTGTGTTAGACCTTGACAAATGCCCATCTGCAGCCACCCCCTCCCCCTCCACACACACACACATCTTTCATATTTGTGAGACATGATGCTCTAGTTGATATTTTCAAAAAATATAAAAATATCATATTAAGCAATATCAATTTAGTCTTAACAACTTAATCTACACCAAATTAATTTTGAAAATAAAAAGGCTGGCCATCAAATGACATATGCTATGAACTGACCAGTAGTTCTTCTGTCTAATTCCCAAAGGATACAGAAATGAGCTGCTTGATCAAAGATGCTTTAACAGAAATGATTGAGACAGCTAGCCTTTCTACATTGAACTCATTAATTAATCTTTAACTGGATGCTTGTCCACTCATTACTCCCAAGGGATGAATGGATCTGCACTATCTGCTTTGTAGTGCAATAAAATTGCATATTTATGTCATCCTGAAGTTAAATTTGAAAACAAATATTTTTTAAAAATTTGTTACAAAGATTTCTAAAAAGAAAAAAAAAACTTGTGTCATCTTGAAGCAGCATTATTAATAAGGTTCCTGCATGACTCTTAGATTTATAGTTGCTATCTATCATAATTAAAACATTTTTTTTAAATACTTGATTTTTTTAGATTTAATATCAGACTAGCTGGTTTTAAGCTACAATCATATGGACAATGGGCATGCTGATTTCAATATTAACCCCCCCCCTATAATTAGCTTTAATTAATTAGTTTATTATAAAATATCAACAAAT